AATTAATGAATAAAAATAGGAACATATTTTATTGATAAAAATACAGACTTGAATACATTGTACATGTGATTATCATTTCAAATATTACAATTTAAGAAAAGGTCCCCATTATTAAAAAACTACAGAAACCCATGCTGGCAGGAATTCAGTGATGACACCAATAAAACCCATGTACGTTGTATACCGTATTTTTACCTTGTCGGAGCCCCAAAGTGCGGAACCACAGACTTGTATAGACGACTAAGGAAACATCCTCAGATATCAAATAAAGTTCAAAAGGAGCAACACTGGCTGGCGAGAAAACGTTTTACGAAGGGTATTTTGTTTAGATTACTTATTTATAACCATATAATTGCATTCTCGATGTTCTCTTGTTTTTTTCTGCGTAAATGTTTTTCCTGATAAATTAAGCACGTAGTGATCATTTGAGAAAATGCTAAATTAGTTTTAGAATAACAAAATTTTTTGTTTCTTATGAAATATTAACCGGATACGCGCATATGTTAAGGGACGATGAACCACATGTGCACCTTCTACCTTTTTAAACTATAAAATCACTCATTATGTGATGTAACATTGATAATACGCAATTCTTAATGATATTTAATATCTAAAGTGACTTTTTATTATTAGAGTACATTATTCCATATATATTTATTATCATATTATATTTTAATTGCAATTTCATGTTTTATTTTTTTATTCTGGCCCGGAGAGAACGTATGCTTTATGAATAAACTTAACTATTATTACAAAAACGCTTAAATTCGTTAAACCTTTATATGACCCCTTCCATCATTTCGGATTTACTCACAAGTACAAAATATCGCAGTAATTCGTTGATTGTTACGTTACGTCACACACTGTTAAGAGTCTTTCAAAAAGAAAAACGCACCAAGATGTGTAGTATTCGTAGTTGTTGGCACATAGAAGAGCTCGTCAGCGCTTTTCAGTGAGTATTGCTAAAAAAAAAAAGATAACAGAAAAAGATAAGTACAGATAACGCTTGCTTTCTATCGGAGAGATCCTTAAATATCTGATACAAATAAAAACAGATTATAAATTCATAATATATAAACAAAAACATGACAGCAAGCTTTTAAGTTCGTTCGTCTAACTGTCTGTCTGTTCTCCATCCGTTTCTTTTTGTGTCTTTGCTAAAATTGTGGGCATTATATCCTCATGTTCCGCTTATTAGCTGTCTGCAAACACTCGTTTAAAAGACATTTATTTGTAGTAAAACTATTACCAATATGCACAGTGTGTTGTTTCCCAAGTTTTTTTTATTCTATATTTTGTACAATTTAAATATTTGAATTTGGACATGAGGATAGCTTGCTCGAGTAGATATCTAGTTGAAAGCATGTACACCGTTTGGATACCGGCTTGACAAGCGCTCCACGCAGAGCCGGGCTCAGGTCTCGTATTGGTTGGACAGAACGCAAAATTTACTTTCGGTTTTAATTAAATGTTGATTTTCATATTACAATGAGATGTATAAATGTTTATTCTGATTGCATCTAGGAGATAATTCTATTTGCTATTGATTTACACCGGTAAAGTCACGGTAAGGTTCATTTAATAATGATTTATAAAGGTTTTATTATACAAGGGTTATCGTGTTTACATTTTGGAGTCTGCAATCTTTTGAGACTTGATGGTATACGGTATTTTTCATATATGTAAAAATTGTTTGAAAACCATTTTTATCGTTGTAATAGATGTCCCATTTGTGTTTAAATAATAAAATAGTTTTGGTAGAGTGTTTACAGGGGCGTATCACGTTGGGGGGCAGGATCTGACCCCCAAGCCTCTGTGTTCTGAATCGCTGTCAAGTATACGAAGTCGTTTGCGTTTTGGTTGGTCTGGTGATCTACTACTCTGATTTGGATAAACATTAATGTTAAATGTTCCTCCGTAGACAGGAACACATAATACCGAGTGAATACCTCCTGAGACATTAATCGTTTGAGGAATGTGTGCTTTTTACGGTGCTAGGGGGCGTGAGGAATGTTGCACTTATTCATTATCCCTCATGTACAGACTCAATCAAACCGAGTCTGCAATTCTTACGTAATTTTGTTGTGATTAGTGCTTCCGAAGGATCACTTTGTCTCCAGATTTTTATACTTCACAACAGCAGGTGTCAAGTGATGTGTGGCAGCTGTAAAAAGTTGCCCCGTACTTCACTTCAGTGTCGTTATATTTTTCTGGTCCTTCGGAATCATTGATGCCAGCACTATTAAGTGTTATGAATTGAGTAACGCTCAAGCCGGTGCTAGAGGGCGTGAGGAATGTTGCATTTATTCATTATCCCTCATGTACACACTCAAACAAACCGAGTCTGCAATTCCTACGTAATTTTGTTGTGATTAATGCTTCCGAAGGATCACTTTGTCTCCAGATTTTTATACTTCACAACAGCAGGTGTCAAGTGCTGTGGGGCAGCTGTAAAAAGTTGCCCCGTACTTCACTTCAGTTTTGTTATATTTCTCTGGTCTTTCAGAATAATTGATGCCAGCACTATTAAGTGTTGAGAATTGTGTACTGCTCAAGCCGGTGCTAGGGGGCGTGAGGGATGTTGTACTTATTCATTATCCCTCATGTACAGACTCAATCAAACCGAGTCTGCAATTCTTACGTAATTTTGTTGTGATTAGTGCTTCCGAAGGATCACTTTGTCTCCAGATTTTTATACTTCACAACAGCAGGTGTCAAGTGCTGTGTGGCAGCTGTAAAAAGTTGTCCCGTACTTCACTTCAGTGTTGTTATATTTTTCTGGTCCTTCGGAATCATTGATGCCAGCACTATTAAGTGTTGAGAATTGAGTACCGCTCAAGCCGGTGCTAGGGAGGCGTGAGGGATTTTGCACTTATTCATTATCCCTAATTTACGGCCTCAATCAAACCGAGTCTGCAATTCTTACGTAATTTTGTTGTGATTAGTGCTTCCGAAGGATCACTTTGTCTCAAGATTTTGCCGAATTGAACGATTGATGAGGTTGACATGACCTTGCAGGGTTCTCAGAATTTTGTGTATTTGAGTTTTCAAATGTGTTTTGATGAAGGATTTGAGATATATTCCTATGCTGGTCGTTGTTAACATGTCTATAGTTGTTGATTGAAGAGACGTTTCTGTGGCTGTAAATTTGTGCAATATATGGTTTGGTGGAACATTACTGTCAGACAATTTTTGGATCAGATATTTTCTTGCACTATGAATTGACAATTTTTTACTCGTTCAATGTTAGCATTTTTGACCATAGTTGACATCATGTTGCCGAGTTTGTTGATTGCATGTGCATTTTTCTTGAACCAGGCTTCTTCTTCAGAAGGTAAGGGTTTTGTTGTTGTTGCAATGTAGAATGGATTGTGTGGAAGCGAATAACCAGCTAGACGTTTTGTATATTTTGATGGGACATCGATCAGGGTTAGAAATATTTGCCCATAACTTTGGTGTAACTTCTCGGATATTTCGAGGATCATTTCCAGTGCGTGTTTTAGTTTGACGTTCGCAAAATTCTAAATATTCATGACCGTTTGTGTTGGATTTTAATGTTACGTCTCCCCAACACATATCACGATGTTCGGACCTCCCACGTAAACCAAAATGAACAGTATTATAGAACCATAATGTCTGAAGTATTGAATCTGGTGTTTCACTGCCCAGTTGTTTTTTCTGCCATAATATTTCTATTTCTTGGTCATTAATAGGGTCTGCTTTATTTGGAAAATTACCCTTGCCTTCCCTTTTTAGGAGTTTCTGCTTGCTTTTTAATACTTCACGAACTTGTGAAAATTTTGGGCTAGTAGCTATGTATTCAACGTAATTAAATCGGCGTAGTTGACGGTCAAAGTTGACATCATACCCATTAAGGAAGTCGGTTCATCCTCGGATCCGTTACTTTTCCTTACAGTAATGAAAAACCTTGAAAGAATGGTAGAGAGTTCAGCTGGTAAGATATTTTGAATTTCTCGACTTTCATTTATTTCAGGTTGTTGAAAAAATTATTTTAAACAATTTTATATTATACAGTGTTTTTGACATTATTTTCAAATTGATTATTTTGTCCGAGAATAAATTCTTCAATGTTGACATTAGCACTGGACAAAAGTCTTGCATGATTTTCCGTCGTCTGCAAACGCTCTCTTTCAAAATTTGACGATGGTATAAGCAATTAAAGTCGAGCTTCTAGTCCTTCTTCAAATTTAAAGTCTTTTATTTTGACCATATAAAATGTTCCAAACCCACGGTGAACCTTTGGAGGACGGTTGCTTCCCCTTTTCCGTCAATGTGTACCGATTGACCCACTTGAAAATTTTGGTCAGCCATATTGTTTTTGTTGACAAGCGGCCATGTGAAACGGGTCATTAGCATATTATATGCACGGCAGTGCAATACCGTTTTTATGGAGCCGCAAAATCGGCACGGGTATGTGATAAAACCTACTTATATTCGATAAGTGACAAAGTTCTGTGTGGTGGACGAACGTGACTAACCTTATATAGCGATGTCAATTTTGTTGAAAATATAAAGTTGTCACTGTAATCCGAACTCCATCAATATTTGGAAATAATCTTATATAATATATCTAAATGTATTTCGTACATGTATAATGTATATATTGAACACATATTTTTTTTTTATTATTATATTGAACTCACACTCTTTCAGGACACAAAAGAAATACTTCAAGATATTTAGAGTATTTTGATGATGCAGTAAGAAGGACTGAAAAAAAAGAAAAATTTAAATCTATGATATTTGGTAATTTTGTTTTTGTTGTTTTGTTTTGCTTTTACAATTTAATGCTCTATTTAAATTCTAAAAATTTCAGTATTTATTTTGTTTACATAAAATTTTGAACATCAAAAATGGAATCTAAATATTTGTGTAATTATTTAAAACATGTTCCGAATTATATGTATTTCAACTTCATTGATTTATTTCACATGGTTTACCATTTTTATAGCAGAATTGTCAAATATTTCACAGGTGATTGTAGCGCCTCCTTGTTATGGGATAACCGGAAATTGTTAGTAAATAACATAGACAAGTACATGAAGTTTCCACCATTTACAAACGCAGACGTTATCAGGAGACTGAACCCTGACGCCAAAATAATTATCATGCTCAGAAATCCCGTATCAAGGTAAAAAAAATTGTTAATTATTTGAAGTACAATAGTTGTACCACGCAATTAAAACACGTATAGTAAATCACAAACAACATACAAAATATCGTCATCATTATAATATCGTATCATCATCTACAACACGAAAACTATCATCATCATCATCATTACTGTCATCACAATCGAGATCAACTGTCTTTCTCTCACCTAAAGTTATAAAAAGGAAAATCCATTCAACATGTATTTTTCAGTTATATGTTGCATTGATGACCAAAGCCAACTACACTAAACAGGTCTTATTCTCTAAATGAAAACAGTAACACTTTATACTTTTTGCCAGATAATACATGTACGTATATTTGCCTATAGTTTAAAAACAGTAAATGAATCTTTTGTTATTTATTATGCTAATGTATAGAGAATTTAAACAATTATACCTTTCATTACATATAACTGTTTATTAGGATTTATTTTCTCCAGGTTGTATTCGGAGTATTTGTATTTTCGAGAGGATGGACAGAGCGTGGAAGAGTTTCATAATAGAGTAGTGTCAGCGTTATATAATATGAACGACTGTTTCCGAAAATACAGCGTTCGTTACTGTATATATTTTATGGGAACAGGGGTACGTTTCACGTTTTTAAACACTGTATAATTCATACATGTATTTGTGATAATGTATTGTGCTCATGAAATTTACTTCTGACTATTCGATGGCAGTGTTCATTTAATTAAGTTCTTATGTTTTTATTTTTTAACATACAAAACAATCCTTTGGCAATGAAAACCTGGCGTGTTCCGTTTTTTTCTCGTCTTTTAAAGATTAAATAAGCGTATACAGAGGTACAGGATCAACAAAAATCAAACTCATTCAAAACTTTTTTGAGAGAATAAGCTACGGATAGATACACAGTTGTCCGAATTCGTCTAAACAATTTTGTTGAATGCTTAAGGTATCAACATACTTTCCAAGTTAATTGCTTAAGCCAAAGTATTGTATTTTTGATTTGTTTATACAGATTCTGTACATGTCATATGGCGATTTTTCAGTTTTAACTCCAGACACTTCTGTGCAGGCCGTAGTGAGCGTCTGAGTAGAACCACAACCCCTCCATAGTTTCCTCAGATGATAAAAAAATGTTTCACAAGGTTTTTTTATCCCCAATTTCTTATTTAAAACTATGTTTTATTTTTTTCTTTCTTTATTTTACAGCCACGACTTCAAATTGGATTTTATCATATTTACATAGAAGATTTTTTCCGGGCATTTCCACGTGAGCAAGTTAAAATTTTAAAGCTCGAGAATTATTCGCAACAAATAAATGACACCATGATTGATGTTTACAGATTTCTAGGTCTCGGTAGGTATTTAAAGATTCCTTTACATCAAATCTATCACTGTTTCCCAGAGAGATTCAGGTAATACACTTATATCTTAGTTTTCAATGCATAATTATATTAAGAAATTTGACAAGAAAGATGGGATAAATAGATTAAGTGAGCAAATTGAGAAAAAACATATGGCAAAAGTTTTTGGACAAACAAAATCATAATATTAGACAGTTATTAGTTTACTGACGTTACTGTACCTAAATATTCGATAGTTAATGGTTTACTAACGTAACTGTACCTAGATATTCGATAGTTAATGGTTTACTGACGTAACTGTACCTAAATATTCGATAGTTAATGGTTTACTGACGTAACTGTACCAAAATATCCGATAGTTAATCGTTTACTGACGTAACTGTACCTATATATTCGATAGTTAATGGTTTACTGACGTAACTGTACCTAAATATACGATAGTTAATGGTTTACTGACGTAACTGTACCTAAATATTCGATCGTTAATGGTTTACTGACGTTACTGTACCTAGATATTCGATAAGTAATGGTTTACTGACGTAACTGTACCTAGATATTCGAAAGTTAATTGTTTATTGACGTAACTGTACCATAAAATCCAATAGTTAATGGTTTACTGACGTAACTGTACCTAAATATTCGATAGTTAATGGTTTACTAACGTAACTGTACCTAAATATTCGATAGTTAATTGTTTACTGACGTAACTGTACCTAAATATCCGATAATTAATGGTTTACTGACGTAACTGTACCTAAATATCCGATAATTAATGGTTTACTGACGTAACTGTACCTAAGTATCTGATAGTAAATGGTTTACTGACGTAACTCTACCTAAATATTCGATAGTTAATGGTTTACTGATGTAACTGTACCTCAATATTCAATAGTTAATGGTTTACTGACGTAACAGTACCTAAATATTCGATAGTCAATGGCTCACTGACCTAACTTTACCTAGATATTCGATAGTGAATGGTTTACTGACGTAACTGTACCTAAATATCCGATAGTTAATGGTTTACTGACGTAACTGTACCTAAATATCCGATAGTTAATGGTTTACTAACGTAACTGTACCAAAATATTTTATAGTTAATGGTTTACTAACGTAACTGTACCTAAATATTCGATAGTCATTGGCTCACTGACCTAACTTTACCTAGATATTCGATAGTGAATGGTTTACTGACGTTACTGTACCTAAATATCCGATTATTAATGGTTTACTGACGTAACTGTACCTAAATATCCGATTATTAATGGTTTACTAACGTAACTGTACCTAAATATCCGATTATTAATGGTTTACTGACGTAACTGTACCTAAATATCCGATTATTAATGGTTTACTGACGTAACTGTACCTAAATATCCTATTATTAATGGTTTACTAACGTAACTGTACCTAAATATCCGATTATTAATAGTTTACTGACGTAACTGTACCTAAATATTCGACAGTTAATGCTTTACTGGCATAACTGTACCTAAATATTCGAAAGTTAATGCTTTACTGACGTAACTGTCCCTAGATTTTCCCAAATAGTTAAGGGTTTTTACTGAAGGGGAACATCCCAAAAACTTTTGAATTTTAAAAATGCAAAATTTTAAATTAAGGAAATTTTTTTAAAACCCAAAAATAAAACAACATTGTTTAAAGCAAAAACCCCCAAAAAAGGGTGTATCCCCAAAATAAACATGTCTAAAAATTTAAAAAAAAACTATCCCAAAAAAAAAAACCCAAAAAAAAATAAAACACGAAGCGCCCCTTTTTTTTAATTTTCTTTTAAAAACTTTCGCAAAGCTTTTAAATTTTAAATGTTTTTAAAGGGAAATTTTTTAAATGCCCCTAACCAATAAAAGTATGTTTTTCAAAATTCAAAAAAATTTCCCGGGAGGCAACCTTTTAAAGTTTTTCTGTCTTTAAATATTTTATTTAGTGGAAACGAACACAAAAATTATATTCATCTTCAAACATATGCATAGTACAATAAAAACACATGATGAACAATTATATATTATTTGTAGATAAACCACCCGACGAAGCTATGACCAGAATCGAAAATAAAAGACAGGCAAATGAACGGGACACGGAGGACAAACAAACTGGCGATATGTTACCAAAGACACGACACATGCTTGCTGAATTTTATAAACCGTGGAATGAGAAACTTGTACAATTGATAGGGGAAGAATTCAGATATTAATTATATGTGTAAACTTCTTATGTGAAATTCTTCAAAATCGATCCGTGAATGAAATATGATGAATCATGAAAATAATGTTTTGAAGTTTCACATGCTAGTATTATAATGTTGTATTACATACGAATTCTAAGTGTTATAGCTCACTCAGGAAGAAAATTGTCTGATGCAGAACTGCTCGGACATTTTGAGGAGTGAATCACACGGCAGAGAAGATTGACAAAATTAATGATAATTTATGCTTGTTTCTGTATTGCTATACAGTGCAACATCTACAGACCGACATTCTATGCGACAATAACATGTTTAAACAACAGTTACATTTTCTCCAAAGTAAGACGTCGTCATATATTTGAGCCACGTCACGACAAAACCAACATAGTGGGTTTGCGACCAGCATGGATCCAGACCAGCCTGCGCATCCGCGCAGTCTGATCAGGACCCATGCTGTTCGCTATCAGTTTCTCTACTTGTAATAGAGTTGGTAAGCGAACAGCATGGATCCTTATCAGACTGCGCGGATGCGCAGGCTGGTCTGGATCCATGCTGGTCGCAAACCAACTATGTTGGTTTTGTCGTGACGCGGCTCTTCATTCACTCAAGAGCAACACATCTAAGTAACAACCAGAATCTTTGTCTCTTTAAGTGCAGAGATGTACTAAAACATTGTTTGTAGTCAATCAAGTGCAGATTTTTTTATGATACGATTGTTACTATAGTATTCGGCAAATAAAGTGGCGAATAGAAAAATCATTACCCTTATTTATCATACGCATATTTTGTTTATACAACAAAGAAATAGAGTTTTTTTTATCATGTTGTATTGGCATTCGACATATATGTAATGTCGACTTATCTGCTTCAGACATAATGAATAACTCCTAGATGACCATTTTGAAAATGTAAGAGTGAGAAGTGTTCAGTAATAACCTTTATAGAATTACTTTATACAGATGTTTATCAATAAATATATTTATGTTTATGTGAAAATAAATGTTTCAGTTATACAACAGGAGGGTGACTGGTTACAAGTGTGACTATTATTAAAACCGAAATTTAATTATTTTAAATGAATTAATTTCCCAGTAAAACTGAAGTAAGTAGAACATAAACATATGTGTATATACCGATGGAGATTACTTTGTTCTAATCTGAGGGTCGATATGTTGAAGCGTTCTGTTTTGGTCAGTTATTTTTATAGCATTTCTATTCTTATCTTTGAAATCCATTTAAACAAGAATTTATATTTAACTAGATTTACATATATCACTTGTCCCTGATCGCTTAGGTTCGAATTTTGGATTATTTCATTTGAGGAAGCTATCCAGCTAGTTTATGGAACGCGGGGATTATACTCCGATGTCTGATATAATACATGTAGTAGAATGATCGACGACTTTTCCCTTTAAAAATGTCGGTGTGACTTAAAACAAAAATGACGCATACGTACAAGTCTCTGAGGTAACAGTTTCTAGATACGAGACTTATCCTAACCATGCGATAATAATACATTATGATGGAGTTTATTAAGCGCAAAATAGAAAACCATAATGATAGCTTTAAGACAAAATTTCCGGAATATACCTAAATAATGTTAGTTTGTGTAGAAAATGAAAATGGTATGGCCTCAAACAGATAATTATCGTTGTAAGGGAACACGCACAAACACATTTCTCTTGTGGTCTATTTGGGTTGAAAGATAGATAGTAACACGTGACTAGCTTATTTATTACAAGACGTTAATTGGTGTTTTTTCTCTTTAGTTTGAATGGCAACATAATGCAGACTTTAAAATCTGAAGCGGAACGAAAACAGGGTCTGTTAGTATATTTTGCTAAATGTATTCATTCTGTCGAGATGATATTTAAGTATATATTTGCAAAAATGGACCTGATAAAAAAATAACCGCACACACGCGCGCACACGTACAAAACTTGTTTTGATTTTTAACACTGATTTTATATAAAAAAAGATGTTTTTGCCCATTTATTTTATAAAACAGATAAAAATATTCTTATATCAACAGCATCATTTTAATTCTATGGACAAAATGTATAAAATAAGAACATTTTCAGATCCATATATAATTTTCTGATGTAAAATTTATACGAAAAAATCTTTTATAACAGAAATATTTTATTTCCAATTTTATTAACTAAATTATTTTTTGCTCTAGATATTATTCCATGATTCCATATCGTCGGCTTTCTTTTTGTGTTAAAAGTCTCTTTGGCGACCTGTACTTACTTTTTGGCTGGATTGTGTGCTTCAGATATTTTTTTTTCTTTTTATTACAGCCCATATAGTGTGAACTGTAAAAAAAATAAACGAAAATGCCATCCATTCAAACTCATGACCTATGGAACCGTCAGAATGTTTCACGGCTGTAACAGGATTTAGCTTTAGTGGAAACAACCTAACTATTATCAAGTATAATTATATTTATTTGAAAACCTTTTTCTTATGATAAATCCATTTTCATCAGATTTATATTTAATTGAAAACAAAGACAAAATATGAGTATTTGATATATTTTTGTGCCTTTAGAATTGGTCAAATATTTGGAAACTCGAACATGGCAGCCGCTCTAAAGCGTAGAATATAAAACATATAAAATTTTGGTTAAAACGTGGAAGCTTGTCGAAAAATATTTATTGTTTCAAGAAACAATAAGTCTTTGACCGACTAATTCGTTTTCTGAGAAAAGAATTTATGTCTTTATCCGTGAATAGAATATATTTCACCATTATTTCATTTTAAATATCACGTCTATTTGGGCTTACAAAAAATGGACAACAATTAAGTTAGTCAGATTCAAATAAGGAAAGAATTAAACGCAAATAAGGAAAGAATTAAAGACCCTCTGTTCCCTTCTCATAACTGTTTTAACTATTTTGTGTTGTTGTTTGTTTTTTCATCTTAGCGTCTAAGTTTCTCAGTATTTAATATTCATTGATATTGCACTAAAATACTATACTTGTCAACAAAAGAGTTGACAGAATATATTCAATTATAATAATAATAAATATTTTTCCGCCATTACAATCTTATTCACATTAGTCTATATCTAATATGATTATTTTTTTTTATGAGGAAAACAACATAATAATGTCATTTTGTTTATCATTACTCTTGTCATACATGATTAACGTTAAATTAATGGGACCAAATACATTTCCTGATTCCCTCAAAACATTTTTGTAACAGTCAGAGAAATCATACTGATATAGGTTGCAAACTGATATTATGTTTAATGGAAATATAAATAAATATCAAAACAATGCACGTGTCATACAGGCAATTTGATCTGTTTTGCCGATACGGAAAATAACTTTATATATTTTAGATGTAAAATCTGCTTATGATGCAAATTTATGTAAAGATGATAACTACATGTATATAAATGTTATATAACAAGACCGCATGACTTTATTCATATTATAGATATATTTGTTTGGTATTGATGCCATTTAAAATCTCTATTTTATTCTTTATTTTAGAAATGATAAAATGTCAATGACATAAGTGTTCTGATTGAGTAGTTTCAATTTGGGTACATACAGTATATAAAACGTACACGTAAAAATTAAAACATTTTTTGACTCATAAAGTATATACCAGTTAAAAAATTTTAATATTTTAACAATTATTCTAATAGTAGCATCTGTTTCAAGATTCTGCTTTAAACAAGGTATGAAAGCAAAATTTTGGTTTTAGAAAATTATATGTTATAAATACATGTACGTGATTTTAATTGAAAATGTATGTGACATTTTGTACCCTTTTTTGCTTCAGTTTAATATTTCCAATTATCATCTAAATAAAACACGAACGTGCCATTAACGCAAAAACCACTGACTAATTATACAAAACAATCAGGGAAACATTTATACAGTCATATAAGCGACATAAATCTTAATAATTCATGGGGATGCTTTGCTTTTATGAAGCAAATTTTAAAATCACAGTGATAGCTTTAAGACATACAATGTAGTTCCTTTGATATATTTAACGATGTTAGTTTCTGTGGGGCAAGATGTTATTTAATTCTCAATGATCCTCTGTGAAGCAGATAATTACGAAGGCAATAAGGGACTACGTGGGCATTGATTGTTTCTGCTAGTAAAAACATAATGTGTTATACCTGAAGAGGGACAAATCATGTTCTAACTTAGTTATTGACTATCAGCTTTAAATAGATCCATGTTTGGTTGACACTAACCTTTTATAATATTGACAGAGCTCATATGACCACTTAAAGCTTGTCCGAGCAGTAACCAGGGAACTGTGGCATACACTGCCAAAATTTGCTGTGGAGGTTTTTTCATGACTAGGTGAACACTATTGACTTTGAGTTATGGAAAAATTTCAAAAGTGAAAGTAAATTTTATGAAAACTTTGCTTATAAATTTTGGGAATATTCATCTTTGGGCCCAAGGGCCCACAGGGGGTGCATAAAATTTTTTTAAAAAGTTTTTCATTTCATAGGGTAGGGAAAAATTTTTTCCCTTAATTGATATCATGCTTTCCCAAGTTTAAAACATGATTTTTAAATAAAATTGGTTTAAAATTTATGAAAAATATGACGACAAAAAATAAGTGGGGGGGATAAGTCTGCTATAAGACAATTTTAAAAAAATACTTTATAAAACAATAAAGTAAAGGGACAGTAAAAATTTATTCTGGTTACACAAAAAAAAATGCTAATTTTTTGAAAAAAAAGAAAATACATGTGTAGTTAAAAAATGTTAAGATTTTGTTTTGACATAGTACGACTCTCGAATTTCCTGGGGAAAAGTGAAAATATCGTTGACAAGATGGTATTGTCCAAAATCACAGGTAAAATAACAATTGAACATGTTCCGATAATAAATCATATGAAGATAAACATGTTCAGATATGTCTCATCTAAAACAGATTCATATTCGCGACCAGACTATTCATAAAAAGACATCTACATATGTAAACCTATGTTAAAAAATGATTGTATTGATATCAGCGAAAAATTGACAGCATTTAACTCGTCGGGAGAATGCTTTATATTTCTAACCAGACGGTTCAAAATGTTTAAAACTGTGTTTTAACAATGATTGTACTTTTCTTGTTTCGTGAAATCGAAGGGATGAAAAAAATTCATGACATTAGCATGCAAAGTGAGTTATATCATTATGTATATGTTGAAGTTAAAAAATGTCAAAACATGCTCAGAACAGAACAGCGTCGATAGATTGTAGCTTTTGATTCCAGTATGTCTTGTCATTAAGCTTTTGTCATTATTGTATGATAAATAGTGTCGTATGAAGCAAATTCATCTCTCATATGTAAATATATTACATAGATAGACGGTTAGATTTGAAAAGTTCATTTCCCAAATTTTAAAACCCAAAATAAAAAGGATTTGGGTTTAAAGACATTTTCCCTTTCATTTTTGACAAAATTTTCCCTTTGGGAAAAAAAAAAAATCCCTTTTAAAACCCTTTCCGTGCTTTTAATTTAAATGTACATGTTCATCTTTAAATCTGG